AACCCGGGCAGCGCCGGAGTTCTGGCGCCTTCTGGAGCGCCCCTCATTTGGAACGGCAATCCTGTCGGATAGGCCATCTTTGGTGGAATTCGGGGGAGGGGGTGGGGTTGGACCATAGGGGTGCTCCTCATGCTACGAACCTAAAACGTGTGTGGGGCTTGCAAAACAACCCCGTGGAGCAGGAACAGTAAAAGCAAAGGAGAGCTTCTACGGTACTTGAGAGAAACCTACGGCTTCCTCCTATGAACTTTACCGGCTCCCTTTCCCATACGTATGTCACCATGGCTAAACAGGGGCCGTTTCTCACGCACTTTGGGGGAGCCCTGAGCCAGCCTCCAGAGCCAAAGAGAACTGGGGCCTGGTAGGAGGCCGGAGGCAGTCGGGGCCTGACACACTAACGCTACGCCTGCAGGCCCAGCTCAGCTCCAGGGGTCATTTTATGGGCTTGAAAAAGGGCCACGGCCCTGTGGGCCCCTGGCACGAGGGTCGGGTGTGTGGGACCCTGCTGGCCAGCCTGACCTCCATCCAGGCCTCGTTCCCTACAAGAGGCGGAGAACAAGGAGCCCCAGCCACCCTCGGCCTGCTCATCCAGAATGCGACGGTGTGGATTGGCCCCAGGTGGGGGGGGGAGGCCAGTGGGCTACCACGCCTGCAGTGGTGCTGATGGTGGGAGTGGGGGGCCCAGCAGCGCATCCAAACTCTCCCCCCAGCTGTAGAAACACGCTTGATTCTTGGATGGTGTGGGGCCTCAGTGCCAGGACGGCGGGACTTCTGACCCTTTTCTCTCCCCTGACGTGATACGACAGAGCACTTGCCATGGAGGCTGAGCAGGGAGGCCCATCACTCGGCAAGTTTACACCTGCAGTTGCCAACTCACTCCCTATCCTCTAGGGAGAAAGGGGGAAACGAACGGGGGTTCATGAGAGTCCAGCCCTCCCCTCCCTTCCCGACCCCTCCCAGCCCTGGAAAATCGTAAGCGGGATACTAGGAGGAAAAAGGTCTTCGCTAGGGCAGAGCACAGGCCCCTCTTCCCACAGCAGCCAGTTCCTCGAGCAGCTTGTCTAAACGCAGGTGTTGATTCGCCCATCCAGACTCCGTGGCCCGGCCCAGTCACTGGATAACCCGAATTCTAGCATTCGAGGGGGGAGAGAAATCTCTTTTCCTCTGCCGCTGTTGCACACACTCGTTCTCCTCTCTACCCAAAGGAAAAGCTCTCGTGCCTCAAACTGGATCTTCCTCCAGCCACTGCCTGATCAAGGGTCACTTGCCTCCCAAAGAAAGACCCGGGAGAATATTTACAGAGGAGAACCTTTGCTCGTTTAAACCTTTGCGCAGCATCAGTCAATTTCACAGTGTGGGCACTGTTTAAAAATAGCACGCCAGTTAATTGGAGGAGGCCATCTGGGCATCTTCTCTGCTGCTTGGGGGTGCCCTCTGCCTTCACTTCTCCCACTTGCCTTGCAGGAAGTGTGGCGGTGAGGGCCAGTCCTGCAGAACAGCAGCCTAACAAGACAGGCTGTGGGGAGTGCAGAGACAGTGGGAAATCCAACTGTATCTTCCAGGGACGTTGCCCCACCCACCCAGTTCTCTGACCAGTCTTTGTTTGTGTGCAGCAAATATTCCCGCCAACTAAAACAGAGCCGTAAACCTTTGCCCATTTCTTAATGGGAGGATGATGCATCCTTTGGGAGGATGTTAAGTTTCTAGGCCTCATGGTACCAATATTAAATATTAAATATCTTAAAATATTAAATATGCATCGGGAGCAACAGGAGCAGTCTTCCTATTGCCCATTCTAAATACAAGAATACGTTCTGCCTTTGGTGAACGTGCTCTGTGACGTTTCATGGCTATTCCAGCGGGGATGAAGGGGAGCCATTAGTATAAAGTGGCTGCAAAAATTGCTAACACGATCCTAGCTGGCATTCCTAGAAACAGAGCTGCCACTGCGTTCAAGGCATCTCGTTTTTACAAAGGACTTTGGGAAGCTGGAGGCTGGACTGGATGTGAAGAGGCTGGAAACTAAGGCCCTTGAAGAACCAGCGAGAGCCAAGCGCAGAGGACTTGAGGAGATTCAAGGAAGAGGTGCCAGCGAGGCGCCCGCCTGCAGGCATCAGCAGGTCCAACGCACCTCCTGGAGGGTGACCACCTTAGCCAACTTTTTCCCCACGAGGCTCTTAGTCACCAGCAGGACATGCTCTTCCCAAGGCACAAGTTCCCAGTTTTTGAAATCCTTAGCAAAGATGCAAGATAGGAGAGAAATGGGTGCTTGTGAGTGATGGGGCGTGCACACATGCTGGGCTTGCTTGTAGTTGTGCAAAGCCAACCCTTATGGTCAGTGGATGATTCAGAGCTTGCACAAACCCAGAACCTGGGTTAAATCTGGGGCCTGAGCACCACAGGCCAATTCCGCTCCCCTGAGCATCTGCAGACATGCCACGGTCTCAAGCTTTCCTTTCTAGATCAGACTTCCCCTGCCAGCCCAGCCGTAGGCTTTAAGACAACTGCTCCAAAAAGCAGCTTGGTGCCGGAACGCTCTGTTTGCTCCGGGTTCCCCTGAAGAGACCATTACTTTCCAAAATCTGTACGGTTCCTTCGTGCCACCCGCCTCACCCTTTGCTCTGGCCTGTGTTTTCTTGCAGACCCGGAGGACACCCAGCGCTAGCATGGCAAAAGAGAACTCAGCTTTCTCCGCCGCCCCCAAGACCCCCGTCTCCGAGTGCAAAGCACCCCTCCCCTCCCACCCGGCCAAGTCGGCGGCCTTGCGGCGCCTGGGCGAAGGCCCCGAGAAGGCCGAGAAGAAGCGGGGGCGCCAGCGCTACGTGGAGAAGGACGGGAAGTGCAACGTCCAGCACGGGAACGTGCGGGAGACCTACCGCTACCTCACCGACATCTTCACCACGCTGGTGGACCTGAAGTGGCGCTTCAGCCTGCTGGTCTTCATTCTGGCCTACGCCGTCACGTGGCTCTTCTTCGGCCTCATCTGGTGGTTCATCGCGTACTGCCGCGGCGACCTGGACCACCTTGGGGATGACGCGTGGACGCCCTGCGTCAACAATCTCAATGGCTTTGTCTCTGCCTTCCTCTTTTCCATCGAGACCGAGACGACGATCGGCTACGGGCACCGGGTCATCACCGACAAGTGCCCCGAGGGCATTGTGCTGCTCCTGCTGCAGGCCATCCTGGGCTCCATGGTCAACGCCTTCATGGTGGGGTGCATGTTCGTCAAAATCTCCCAGCCCAACAAGCGGGCAGAGACGCTGGTGTTTTCCTCCCACGCTGTCATCTCGCTGCGGGACGACCACCTGTGCCTCATGTTCCGGGTCGGGGACCTGCGCAACTCCCACATCGTCGAGGCCTCGATCCGGGCCAAGCTGATCAAGTCAAAGCAGACCCAGGAAGGGGAGTTCATCCCCCTCAACCAGACGGACATCAGCGTGGGCTTCGAGACGGGCGACGACCGCCTCTTCCTCGTCTCCCCGCTGATCATCAGCCACGAGATCAACGAGCACAGCCCCTTCTGGGAGGTCTCCAAGGAACAGCTGCAGAAGGATGAGTTTGAGATCGTGGTCATCCTGGAAGGGATGGTGGAGGCCACAGGTAGGTGGGTGGGCGCCGAGGGCCCCTGCTGGGGAAGCAGAGCTGCCAAAAGAGCGGTGCCCTTCCCTGATGCTAACTGCTGGGGGGGAGAACCAGCTTTCTGAAGGTGGGCAGGCAGGCAGGCAGGCAGGCAGGCGGCTGCAAGGAGAACAGGTGGCTGGCCACGGAAAGCCACTTCTGCTCAGCTATCTCCCCATTTTTGAGGAAAATATGTTTGGCTTAGTCCCTTAGCCAATGCAGAGTGTGTGTGTGTGTGTGTGTGTGTGCGCGCGCACGCGTCCACATGCGCGCAGACTGACACCTTTTTCTGCTGAATTCATATTCCCCCAAAGGTGGCTAGGCTGCATCAAGATTGTTTTGGAAAGAGCCCCCCCCCGCCTTGTATGGGTGTGAGAAGCAGCCACTCAATCATCTCCCCCCAGCACCAAGAAAGAGAGCAGGGCAGGGAGGGCCTTGCTCCCCTCTCCCCCTTCCCCCATGGCAAGACGGGAGAGCAAAGGCGGGGGGCACCCCCTCCAGCTAAGCCAGGCCGTTCTGCAGAGCTCGTGTCTTGGGGCAGAGGCAGCTGACACGGCCTCCGTCTGCTCCCACCCACCCAATTTCCCCGTTTTCCACGCAGGTATGACGTGCCAAGCTCGGAGCTCCTACCTGGTGGACGAGGTCCTGTGGGGACATCGCTTTATGTCAGTCCTCACCTTGGAGGACGGGTTTTACGAGGTGGACTATAACAGCTTCCACCAGACCTTCGAGGTGCCCACCCCCAGCTGCAGTGCCCGGGAGCTGGCGGAGGCTGCGGCTCGCATGGACGCCCACCTGTACTGGTCCATCCCCAGCCGGCTGGACGAGAAAGTGGAGGAGGGGACGGAGAAGGGAGGGGGAGAAGGAGAAGAGGGGGACAAGGAGAGGAACGGGAACCTCACCAGCACCGAGAGCGAGAGCAAGGTTTAACGGGCAGCCGGACCGGGCAGAGCAAGCCAGAAAGCCTGGGCAGTGGCAGAAGATGCCCAGGGGGACGGGGGAGCCATCCGGGCCAATGAAGAACAGGCGCGTTTGGACCTTTGGTTACCAGCAAAGCCTGCACAAGAGAGTCTTCTCCAGGAAGCCGTTCCTAACAATGCTGGCACGTAGGGGACGTTGGCAAACTGAAGCCATCAGGAGGTGAGGTGGAATTCGAAAGAGTATCCAATGGGGGTCCAAACCCATTGCCAGGGAAGACAAGGGTTCCTGGAGGGCCACGGGGCTCCCGATGGCTCCGTAGACGTGCCCGTGCGGTTTTCTTGGCAGCAAGACTGAAGGGGCTTTCGCCCTTCCTGCTTCCTGTTTCTTGGACTTCCCAGCCCAGCCTAGAGTGCTAGCGGTCTCCCATCCAAGGCCTGACCAGGGCTGACCCTACTCAGCTTTCCAGCTCAGCCAAGGTCTGATGGGGAAAGAACAGCATGGGGGCAACCGGGGGACAAAGAGGCATCGAGGGAAGGTGTGAACAGGTGGTGTGCAAGAGGAAAGGAGCGATGACGGTCGAAATCTCCCCGCCCCACCAGCTAGGACCACGAAGGCTCTTTTCCTGTCGCTTCCCGACGTCTCTGCCAGACTTTCCCTGCACTTGCTCAGCTTCTCCCCCCAGCAGACCACGTTGCTTCCAAGTGGACAAATATTTGCATAATTTAGGCAAAGTTTTTTTTAAAAAACTGCACCGAACATTTTGGGCATGCCAAAGACCATCACGGTCCCTGGGGAGGATGCATGGAGAAATATGACCCCAACACAAAGTCCAGAGTGGCTTAAAAACAGCTTTGTCAAATTCACGGAAATGGCCCGCCAACGAGGCCTCTTCTATTAGCGAGTTCTCCCACCCAGCAGGCCCCAGTACGGCTGGCTGTTTCCCCCACAGGCCAAGAAAATAAGTGTGTGGTGGTGGGGTTGATCGATGATATTGACTAGGAGACGAAACGACATTCCGTATTTTGAAATAAACCTTATTAGATGAGTTGTGCAATTTTCCAGTGGTTAATCTAGGAATTATGTGTCTGCGTATATTTGCATGAGACTAAAAATCCCAAGTAGGGTTACGAAGCGGGTTTGATCTTTGGAGTGCACAGAACACATGCAAGAGTGGCGTATCGAGCATTTGGAGGCTCTCGGGGATCTTAAAGAGTCAGGGGAGCTGATGAAACCTGGAACAGATTTTACTTCCACATTATTACTCACCATCACACTCTCATTCCTTAGATATTTGTCCCTCTTCCTCTCCAGGAGCCGAAAGGGGTGGAGAGGGCTTTCCTTCCTCATCGCTTTCCCCACAAGAAGTCCGGGAGGCAGATCAGGCGGGGACACGCGATGCCTCCCCACCTGTGGCATGAACGGTTGCTGGTCCCTTCCCCTCCCCTAGCGGCTTATGCTCAAAACTTGGCAGACCCTTTTGGAAACCGGCCTTCTTTGGCAAGGGACGGTGGTTTACAGGATTGGCACTGAAAAACAGGGGAGGGGGGACTGCATTCCCTGAAACCCAGTTAAGCATCTTGGGCACCCCCCTTGCCCAGCTGGAGAAGAGCTGCAGGCAGTGCCTGGTGGCAGTTTTGCTGCCCTGCAGCGCCTTCACCCCCGGCCAGGGAAGGGTACTGCAGCTCCTCCCAGGGGCCCACAGCTTCTCTCTCAGGGGCAAGAGAGACACGGCCAAACAGCCATGATGGGGCCAAACCTTGGGGCCAAGGGCCCCCCAAGCCCCAAAGCCATTGCAATGAGATTCTAGGCCTGGAGGGTTTGGTCACTGGACGCCTGGTGAGCAAACGCAGCCTACGACAGCCCTGAGATGTTCTCTGCCTCGGGGCCCACCGCCTCTTTCTCGTTTGGAGGAACAGGTCTGCCACGTCGGACGGATCCGTCCCATCCTCTTCGGCATTTCTTCTCTGGGTGCCCTCTTGATGCACTGGGACTGCAACCCCCATAGTTCCCAGCCAGCCTGCTGAGAGAGACGCCTCCTCTCCCTGCAGTGCTGGCTCTTACCCCTCCAGCTTCTTGGTGGCTTCAGAAAACCTGACACATGCGGGGTGCAACTCTGTAGCTCACATTTTTATTTCGGCCCATTCAGGCCTTGCGAACATTACTTCCATAATCGCTCGCGACAGCTGACCGCTTCTCCCTTCCCCAAACTGGGAGGGGCCCCGGTCTTCCTTTAAGCACCATCAGCTACCAGCTGCCAAGCCTCCTGGGTGGGCGGATCTCACCCTCTCCCCTCTGAGCGGGACGCTGGGACAGCAAAAGGCAGAAGAGCCGATCCCAGGGCCTGGCTGCTCTGCAAGTCTGCCCGAGGCTGCTCTTCCGGGATGGGCGCGGGCGCTGCGGGCACAGCCTGGAGCGTTCCTTACTGGCAATGGAAATCTAAAGGGGAGCCAACCAAGGGTCTCCCCCTTGCATGCACACACTCACAGACGACACAAAAATGACTCGCTTCACTTGATGGCACGATGATCTTTCGCGGAGAAACCCAGGGATTCCTCCTCGGATGGTTTGGGAAGTTTGCAGAGTTGGGTGGAAACAAAGTGCGCTACCTGGAAACGGCCTGGCTGGTGGAAACAGCTGCTCTTCTTCTACAGCCAAAACGCAGACATTGGCCCCGCTCTTCCGCTCGGGCTCTCTGCTCTGGTGCTTGTGCCGGGCAGCCTCAATGGTGCTGGGGTGCGGGCCTGTTGCTATGGCATCTCCCTGTGCCCATCGGGGACTCCCGCAGGCAGCTTCCGCACCAGGAAACCAAGGCCAGGGCAAGGGGGTGGCTCAGATCCCCAGAGGGGGTGGCACAGGCGGAAAGTTCCCCAACCCCTAAGCGGGTTCATTTGGCACAATCAGAGTGTCAGAAGACGGCTGCTCCTGCTTTGGGGCTTCTGGTGGGTTTCCAAGGCAGGGCATTCATCTCAGTTCTTGAGCTTTTCTTGGAGGATGGCAAATAATCCTTCCAGCTGGCCTCCGCTGGACCCGCACTGGAGTACAGGACATCTGAAAGCCTCCAAGCTCAACGCTCCCTCTTCCCCGAGGCCAGCAATCTGTGGCAGAAGAGGGGGAGCTGTCTGCTCTCCAGGTCTAGATGGTAGACGTCCTTGGGAAAAAGCCTGCGCCCCATGCCAGCGGGGATCCCTTCCCGGCTCAGGTGCATGAGAGACCCGCGCCCTGTTTTGTGGAAGGGAGGTCCTTCAGAAGAGCTGAGGACCCAGCCAGAGCCCAGAGTCCGTTCCAGAGGGATAAAGACTGAAGTCGCTGCCTTGGTGGAGCACAAAGCAGGCCGCCGACGGTTTTAAGAAGACAGAACAGAGCAGCAGGAGGAGCCTGCAAATGGAGAGGGGGTCGGGGAGTGGGGGGTGAAAGACATCTGAGCCCATCCCCACCAGCCCTCAAGCAAATCGAACTGTGACAACCGACACAGGGCAGAAACCTTTGGCTTGGAAGGCGGCTTCCGGGTAACTGGCGAGATTGAAAAGATATGCAGTGAATTAGGCAAATGCCAAACGCCACCTTGCGCCCCCAGGAAAGCCACTCGGTCTCGCAGTCTCTGGAGCCCTCTTCAGAAACCACAAGCCGGGCGTTTGCTTTATATCCCCCTCAGCCAGGCGCTCATTCTGGCCATCCCTGCTCCTTGGAGCTGCATTCAGCCCCCGCCGCACTCGGCATTTTGGGCCCGCCCAGAATGGATGGGCGCCCCTCTTCTCCGGACCAGGCCCCCCGAGGAAGTTCTGCTCACCTCCGTCCTCCTGGCCCGCCGCGTTCACCTCTTGCGCAGCCTTGCCATGAAGCAACAGGTGACCGAGACGAGGATGGAGACCCCCAGGAGGAGGGCGCTGGAGAAGCCGACTGCCAGAGGGATGACGAGGGTGTCGATGGCTGAGGAAGCAAGCAGAGGGGCGGCGTCCAGCCTCAGGGGACAAAGGCAGCCTCTTTGCAGAAGGAGCAAGCAGACCCGTGGGATCTGCGAGGCCTTTCGCCCCTCCTTTCCTGCCACCCTCAAGCCCCCCTTTTATCACCATACAACTGGGGCTCCCGAGAGAGCAGCAAGACCTTCGGCCAGGCTGCTTAAGGAGTGTTACTGAGGTGACCCGATCCTGCCCAGGTTCCTGTCTGCAGCTGGGGGGTGCTGCAGAGTCCCCCGGGGGGAGCACTGAGAGGAAGGGCCAAGGAGGGGAAGACAGAAATGGCCCGTCGGGGCTCTACTCACGCAGCGTGTAGGGATACACGGTGACCATGTTGGACTTCACCGAAGCGGCTTGATACCAGCTGCGGTCAGGAGAGCGCACCCACGCCGTCACCGCGCAATAGTAATCCCCTTCATCGGACGGCTGGACCTCGTGGAGGCGCAGCCGGTGGCTCTGCGGCCCCACTTTGTCCACGCTCACCGCCCCGCCGGACGGCCGCTTCTGCAGCTGGGCCACCCCCTCGCGGTCCACAGTGGCCAGGACGGCACCAAGCGGGGCGGAGCCCTGCTGCGGCAGCTCTGCCCACCAGCTGAGCGCCAGGTGGACGTTCTGAGCCGACTCCACCGAGACGTTGCACCGGACGTCGGCCGTGCTCCCGCGGTAGAGGGTGGGGAACGGCAGCCAGGCAGTGGCCCCCAGCAGCACCGCTGTGGGGAGAAGGAGGCACCCTGAGAACGGGGCAGGAGCCCAAACGCCCCTCCCCCCGGTGCCAGGAGGGCCTCGCAAAGAGTTTCCTCTACAAACAGATTAACGGCACTAATGATCATGGACTTAATTATAGGATGCCAGGCAGCCCTGAGAGCAAGGCCTGTGGGGAGAGAAATGGCTGATGGGGAATAACATTTCCCATCTTCCGCTTCCCTTAACCAAAGCATGCCAACCCCGACTTTGTCACCCGGTTTTTTAAATCAGCTTAAACTGAAAGATGGCCCAATACGCTGCTTTGTTTTAGCTGAGCAAGCCTCAGGAAACCCAAGGACGATGGTGCAAAATGCAGAAGCTGGAACAAGGTCATTACAAGCCCCGGAAAACCGAACACCCTTTGAGCCCCCCCCAAACTGTGGTGAGCGGAGAGGGGTCTCTTCCTTGCCAAGAGCGTTTCTAAAACTCTTTCGGGTGGCTCCCACAGCACCCCACAGAGGCCTCTGAAGTTTAGCAGGTTATAATTATAATCCTGTCTCTCTTTTCTGACGGGGTGTACTCAAATGACGGCTAATTACTGTGGAGTTATTTAAGCGTTCTGCCGAGTTCCAAAGGTTCTGCAGACTCCGGGAAAATTTGATCGGCGCCTCTGGAGACCACAACCAAAGAGACAATCTGCATGGCTCACCCACTAAACCAAATCTGGCATCTTTGCAGACTTCCCAGGAAGGTCGTTTGACTGGACCCGCAGTGCAAAACAGTGTTTAAAGGGCGGAGGGAAGCCCTGCTTGCCCCTCACGCACATCTGCACGCAGACCGCGCGGCCCACAGGAGGGACCAGGGTTAGCCTCGCAGTAGAAGAGGGAGCGCTACCTTCGGACTTTATCTCCACGCTGACCGCCTCCGAGCTCACGGTGGCCAGCTGGCGCAACTCTGCGCTGGGCGAACGCGCAAAGGCCTGGACCCCGCAGCGATACAGGCCCACGTCCGCCGGCTGGGCCGACTCGATCCGCAGCAGATAAGCACCCAGAGGGGAGGCCAGCTTCTGCAGAGAGATGTGCCTCGTGCCCACGTTGCGGTTGGCGTAGTTCTTGCCCAGGACAAGCCCTCCGCTGGCCTCCAGCCGGGCGACAAGATGCGCTTCCCCAGCAGCATCGTTCCTCAGCTCCCAGCTGACCGCAAAGGCAGCGTGGGGCAAGAGGAGGACCGGGGCCCCAGAGATGTTGCAGAACAGCTGCAGGGCTTCTCCAGAGCTCAGGAGGAGTCTGGGGGGGCTTGCAGACACCGACAGCTGGCTCGCTGGAAGAAAGGACAAGGAGCAAAGCAAGTCACAGGGCCGGGGGGGAGCATCACAAGCCCCGTCTCTCCCCAGAGTTCAGAACACGTGAACACCCCAGATCCACACATGCCACGCCCCACTGCTTGGGCCCCCGAGTCCCTTTCAGCACCATCACACCCTGCCACAGGACAGCCTCAAGGGCCCAGCGGGAGACCGGAGTGTTTTGTGTCAAGAGCGAAGGGAGAGACCCCACCAGGATGGAGAAGGCTGGTGCCAAGTCTGGGAGAAAGTTGCCAACCAAGAGTTTGCGAGGGATGCCCAGCGCGTCCCCTTTAGAATGAGGGGCACAGCTCTGGAGTGCCCCCTTGGGAAACGAGGAACTGGGGGCTCCATGAGGCTCCTTCCCCCCAAAGCTACAAAGGGGTGCTTGAGGGAGGAGCAAACCCACCTACGCTTTGAACCAGGACGTGAGCCAGTGCTACCCGCTTCTCAGCGATCTGCTGCCAGCTGCCATCCGGATCCTGGATCCACTCCCCCGCGGCACAGTGATACGTCCCGGAGTCCTCTGGCCTGAGCCGGCCCAGCACCATCTGGTACTGCCGGTCGCCCAGCTTGACCAGCGAGAGCTCACGGGCTGAGCGCCGCGGGGCGAAACGTCCGGCTGCCTCCAGAGCGAAGTCCCGCCGCAGCCCGATCACCTCCTGCAGAAGCCGGGGGTTGCTGGGGGCCGCGAAGGCAAAGGAGGCCGAGAGGTGGGTGTGTTGCCACGTCCCACTGGCCACGGAGCACGTGAGCAGGAGGTCCTGGCTCTCCAGAAGTGCCAGCTGGGGAGGGGAAGCAGCCGTGGCCGCCCGGCCCTGGAAAGGGGGCTTCGCACCGGAGGGAGGGGCAGCAGAGACAGAGAGCTGGTCTGGGATCACTGAGGCAGAAACAAAAGGAGAGGAAGAGGAATTCTGTCAGTTTTTCTGACCCAGGAGCGGGGAGTCCCTTCCCACCACTTTCCTGACCCCCTTTGAAGATTAACCGGGATTCGGGCTACATCCTGGAGAAGAACAGCTCTAAAGTCTTGCAAGTTTACATCTTTCACAAACCCCCTTGATTTTCCTCCTGTTGTTCAACACCACTTTCCAGATGATTGCACATGTCATTTAAATTCAGACTTTTCACGGATCTACCCAGGGCTGCTGGCTACCCAGGCCAACTGAGATGAATAAAATACCCGTCCAAGGTGGAAATGTTGTTGCTGTTGGGCTTTCCGGTGCGCAACAGCATCGCCAACCAAAGGACGAGCGGTTTGCAACTCCAAGAGCATCTCCCAGCCCCCGGATCAAACCACCTCTGAGGCAGTGCGTAAGGGGCCGCAACTGCACCCCGTTAATGGCTGGGTGGCCGGAGGGCAACAGCAAACCCAACCCAAGGTCCCGGCCAGAACAGCAAGGGGTGCTCCCTCTTCCCAAATCTTGATCCCGTCCCAACGCGGCAGATCCACGGCCCTGGCTGGAGTTACTAGGGGCAGATCCCCGCCCCACGCAGCTTGTAATCGATAATCCGGCAGAGGGGTGACCGTGGAGGAAGGGGAGGCAGAGGAAGCAGACGGACGTGTTCTGGCCTTCCTCCAGCTGTGCTGAATGACCATTGCCAGCGTGCCAGCCAACCTGCCCGGGGAAGTCTAGACTACTGCATCCGGAAGGCGGGCATACCTCTGACCTCCACCTTGGCACTGTAGGTCCCGTGGTATCTGAGATCCGTGGTGGGGGTGTAGCACTCGTAGACACCGGTGTCCTCCACCCGGACCGCCCTCACGCGCAGCTCCACAGCATCACCCCGAACGCGCAGGATGGAGACGTTGCCGGCCTGCACCCGGGGCCCAAAAACGGCGTAAGGAAAGTTGGGGTCTCGTGTGCTGACCATGCCGATGGAGATGTCGGGCGCCGACGGGCGATACAGAAACCACTCGAACTGCTGCAGAGAAGGACCCTCGTACTCGGAGACCTCGCAGGGGATGGTAAGGGTCATGCCTTCCACGCGGTGCAAGGGCCCCGGAGGCAGGTGGACCTTCCTCGCGCTGCTGAGGGCTGGGCAGGCAAAGGAGGGCGGATTAGCAGACCGGTTCGGGCCCCTTTGTCTTAATGGCAAACAACTGCAGGCCCCGAGAGCAGCCATGCCAGTAAGAGGGAACAGCCGTTAATTCTGCTGGAGCACCGAAGGACCCGCAGGTCCGTCCGCACAAGAAAGCCCCCACAGCGAAGAGGGTGTGCGGCTCCTCTGCTTGCTCTGGGGAGAAAGGCCAAGAGTAACAGATGGTTCTGGGGAATGCGTGACCCGAGAGGCAGTTGAGCAGAGCAAAGGCGGCCCAGTGCCTTGTCTGAGAAAGGCTTTCACTGAGGAGGGTACCCATTCCCCATCCTGGTGCCCTTCCCAAATGGCCGGCTGGAGGGGCAGGGGCAGGGGCAGGGCCCTTTGCAAATTGCACGTCAACCTGAAAAGAGCCCAAAAAAGACATTCTTTGCAGGCTCTGCCGGGTTGGAGGCTCGAAGATGCAAAACCTTTCCCTGAAGGTAAAAAGCTTGAGGAAAACCATCCGGACTATTCTGCATTTGGCAGAACTGGAAAATCACCAGGAGGCTCAGCCCGGATCTGGCCAGCCGATCACCCCCCTCCGGCCAATCGAGACGAAAGGGCCTAATTCCACAACAGTCTCATTAAGCGAAATGAGTCCTCTGGGGACCCAGACGTGGAGAACAGCAGGTGCGAAGGGCTTGCCCTTCCCTGGAGCATCCCTTCCCTCCCCTGGCAACTGGGCAAGTGCTGGGAAATGGGGCCTTCATTCATTCATTTATTTATTTACTTGATTTTCACACCCCGACCTTGGCAACTCGGGCAGAGCCCCAGCCTGGCTCCTCGCCTGCTCCTGTCCAACCTCGCAGCAGGGAAGGAGAGTCGTGCACTGCAGGGCTGCAGAGAGCCTGGAGCAAAGGCACAGGCAGCTGGACTGTACCACGTAAGGACCCCCTTCCCAGCAGGCCGCTGCAAGCACGAATGCGTGCACACACGGGCCTCTGGGCAGCAGAGGGGCAGAGGCTTGTGGGAGAAACCCGGTCAGCGGACCCTGGTGGGGGTGGGGTGGGGCGAGGCGGGGCTGCCCACGTGACTGCAGAGCAGCGGATTTCAAGAGCCCCTAATCTCACCTGCGCAAGGCCAGTCTGCCAGGTGCCTTGCCAGAACCGTATGGGAGGCGGGGGTCCTTCCCCAGGGCCGGATCCCAACTCGCTAATCTACGCCCACAAGCTGCTGCGACATCTTTTGGACGTGCTACGGAAAGGACTGTTTTTGCATCATTCGGCCAGCTCAATTTCCAGGAACCCCAGTGGAAAAAGGTTCCGGAGCTTTGCAGCTCTGCTCCTTCTTGTTGTTGTTGTTCTCTGTCTCCAGTAAACAAAGAACATTTGGGGCCTTGCCGGCTGCACTCGCCCAGCCCTAGCGGCAGACAGCTCTGGGGACAGGAAGAGTGCCCCTGGGCCCAGCTGCAGGGCAGAAAGCAAAGGAGGGCCCTTTACCTGAGCTGGGTGAGTCTGCGTTCCCAAACACTTCCAAGCGGGTCCCAGCCCCTAAAATTCAGGGCTTCCTGGCCGCAGCCCAGCTGCTTCTCTGCCCCTAATTTACATCTTCCATGTTCAGGATTAAATCAATGCAAATTAATTATCTGATAAGCCCTTAGAAAGCTGCTATCTGTTCTCTCTTGCAGAGGATATTATTATTATTAGTATTGACATTGTTCTCCCCTCCCATCCAAGGAGTAAGAAAAACGTGAAGGGACCTGGCAAAATCACTTGACCCCCTGCCTGCCCCCCCCTCCCCCAGCCAAACCTCTTTGGAACAAGAGGTTGCTCCAAAACAGACCCCAGGCTGCAGTTTTCCAGCTGGGACTGGACACGCCAACTGCTGGAAACCACTTAGTCCCATGACTGAAATCACTTGGAAACACTTGAAATACATAGCAGAGAAGCCAGTCCACCCAGGGCCAGCCCACCTTTCGGCACTGTCTCCTATTCCCCTTAGCCAGAGGAACACAAAGTCAAGCCTCCAGGGACAGTCCAAATCTACCGTAGGGGCTTCTGATCCTCCAGGCGACAAGAGACTGGAATGGGCACTTCTTGGGCATGTCCAGCAAAGGAGGTGGGAGAGAGGAGGACCCCAGCACATCCGAAGAGAGGTCAACGGCCTTCGAAAGTGCTGGCAGGCCGCGGCTTACGGCTCTCCTCGGCGGCAGACTCGGTTTGAGCCCTGGGCTGCCCCCGCGGGAGGGAGACCGCTCTGGGCGTCCCATTTCTACCCCAAACCAAGAGGAGGGGCGCG